CCCGAGGGGAAGGGTGCATCGTTCAGGAAGCAGCAGGAGAGGTAAGGAGGTTGTCTATTACAGGGAGGACAGACAAAAGGAGAGAAGGCCTGGGGCCCGCCTTTGCCCTTGGGACAAATACATGAGGGAGGCCCGATACGTCACTCATATGGAGGAGAGGACCAGGCGCATGTAGAGCAGAGTGGAGAAGTGCGATCACAGAGCCTGCCGAGGCTATAAATGACTTTGATTTGATGTTTAAATAGGGGGCCTACAAAAACTATCAGCCCCAGGGCCTGATGGCAGGTTAAGGCGGGCTTGGCCCTAGGGGTGAACATTTGAATGGGAAAATGTATTGTATTGAAGAGTTAAACGATTTTGATATTGACTGAAGCCATATTTGGTCTGACACATTGCAGCCATTTAGTTCAAATGGTAGTGTTTTCTCCAAATTGTCACTGGTGTTACCGTCACTGGTGTTACTCTTCTTCCTGGTAACACGTAACACCAGTGACATTCCTATACAAATAAGCATTGTGTAAAGTATAAAAATAATTTTAAAAAATAAAATACTTTAAGCTCTACTTGTTGTGGATTCATCAAGTTAAGAGTTAGTTATTGCTATTCAACAGGTTTTAGATGTGTTTAGAAGGAATATATTTCAGCAGATTTGTATCACCCAGATTCCACCTTTTCTGTAGAATGACTCTTTTACGTTTAGAGAGTTAGCAAGTTTGAAAATCGAGTCAAGATTTCCTGCATTTTTCTCACAGTGGTGCGTTTGAGGTTTGTGCTTGTGTTGTACAGCCCCTCTCTCAGTGGGATTGCCCGCTGCATGAAATGTGCACAGTTGTAAATATCAGCTGGGAGCTGCTGTCCGTCTCAGTCGGTCCGCGGTGCGGGAGGAATGGCAGGCTGGGGAGTCTTCTTCTTGGGTCTTCTCAATTACAAGACTGGGAAAATAGTCATCGCCGAAAACAGGAAAATCGGGATATTATTCAGACTCTATCAGCTGGCCGTGCTGGGATACATAATCGGGTGAGGTGCAATGCATGCTTTTGGAAAGTGATTCACAAAGTTAAAAATAGTTGAGCTAGCCGAAAGCGTTGACTTTGTTGTTGTTAAAGTGGCAGCGGCACAGGTTCTTCAAGTGTCTCAGAAAGAGTTGGGATTCATTAATGTGTCAAATTGCTGTAAATACATGAAGTCATTGTATCCCACCCCTCACCTACTGATGTCATGGTGATGAGGAAAATATGAGCAGGTGACTTGGACAGTAGGGTAACGGTTATTATCATCAGGTCTGACCTTTAAAACGCAATAGTTGTAAAATAGCTACTTTAATGGCTGCAGGGGGGTTTAAAGTCATTTAAAAGCTGCTCATGTTCATGAGACTGGATTTATTGCATTGCATTAGTGTAACGAAGTACACATGTTATGGCTTCAGCTTCTCAGTTGTGAATGTGTGCTGCTTTTCCTTTTATTAATTTGTTTTAATTAAAATTAATTAATTGTTTGAACAATGGCTTTGTGCTATTTGTTGTGTACTTTACCCATTGGGCGATGCTGTCACACCCAGATGCCATTTATTTGCAAAATAGTTCAATATATTAGGGCAGTGATGCATACAATATTCTATGATTTTGTCTTAGATACAATTACACAGTTAATTCTTTCATGTGCCACATACTGGTGAACACACTAAATGCAAGATATATTGTGTTTGCTGTCAACCCCTGACACTATGGTCACAAACCGCTGGTCAACAAGGGATCTAAAAAACTATACATAATGCACCCATGTTAATCTGAAAAAATTACTGAAAACTAAATTGTGATGTTTGGGTGAATGTCCCAGGTGGGTGTTTGTGGTAAGAAAAGGTTACCAGGAGAGAGAAGAGGCCATCCAGACCTCGGTCATCACCAAACTTAAAGGTGTTGCACTGACCAACAGCTCTGAGACCGGGCTTCACCTGTGGAGTGCTGAGGATTACGTCATACCCCCGAATGTGAGTCCATCCATCCATCAAAGATGTGACCATGATGTAATCATTGTTTTGCAAGTCACAAGTTAGTCTTTACTCCTTATTCAGGACAGATTATTCCCAAATCAAGCTCCAAGTCAAGTCCTAGGTTAAGGTGGATACGTCCAGAGTCAAGTCCCAAATCAAAACAGATAAGTCCCAAGTGAAAACATACAAACTCCAAGTTAGGTCCCAAGTCAAAACCTATGGTCAAGACATGTCAGACATGTAAGTCCCAAGTCCTTACATTTGAGTTTTGAGTCCTAAATAAATCATAATGGCAATGTGCTCTTCATCCCATCAATTTCTTCTTTTTTAGACAATTTTATACGAGAACAAAATCATATTTGGCATATATTTTTCCAACTGATGCTCAGCAATTTTACATTAGCTCTTACTTGTTCTATTCTGCAGCATGATTGGATGCTGTTGGATTTGTTTAAACAAAGTGAATCAGGGGAATGAAGTGTCAACGTGCTGGGAATGAATTAGTTATATTCACAAAATTATGGAAATGAATTGATTTGTGGCACACTTTTTAAACGAACATACTTTTTTATCTTAGGGTTTAAGGGAACATATCAAGGACTTTCAAGTAAAAAGGCTCCAAGTAATTTCCCAAGTAACTGTTGTTTAAGTCCAAGTTTAGGAGGCCAGTCTTTTTTGTTTTTGTCAATTTGTGTCTAAAGTCATCCAATCTGTGGCTCGAGTCGACATTTCTAGGAAAAAGAGCTTGCAGAATATCAATAAAGCTGTCAGAGTATTCCCCAATTACTCTCCTGTCAAGAGAGATTACAAAGCTATTGAGTGTCTGCTTCAGCAGAAATCATTAGGCTCGGCATCTGTCGCCACTGATTTAACAATATTGAACTTCTCAGAAGTGTAATTTGTTTAACCTTTTGTTTCTCGATCTCATTGTCTGGGCCTCATTTTATTTTGTAGGGCGAGCAGGTGTTCTTCATAGTAACAAATTTCATAGAGACACCCAATCAGAGGCTGGGGTTCTGTGCAGAGGTGAGTATACATGCAGAGGAATCTCATTATTGCCTGTTGATTTGATGTGTTTTTTTCCAATCATAATATCTCGTATGGCTGTTTATATTACCATGTCTAGACAAATGCATTTGCACTTCCATAGAGTTTCAAGGTACCAAATGGACGATGTCAAAGTGATGATGACTGCGTTGAGGGCGAGGCTGTAATAGCCGGACATGGTGAGTATCATTCATTTCACTCAACTCAAAATCTGAGTAGTTGATGGGTTTAACCTGAATTACATGTTTACATAATCTGTCTGTAGCTTGAGATCTTTAATATCGGTCCCTGAAGATCAACACTATATTCTGCATATTAGAAAAATAACTGTTTCACCTCATTGTAGAATTGTGGCCTTGCTATCAGAAAGTTACATTTAAATTACTAATTTATTTATTCTTTTGTTTGTTATTTGTCACAATGCCATATTTTTCTGTGCATGTTGTCTTATTTCAAGGCAAAGTAATTACACTCAATTGTGTGTGGGGGGTGTTGGGGATAGGAAACAGAGCAAGAACTTTTTTATAGTTTTTTTGTATATGGATTGCATTGTTGAAGGAGCTTGGGACTTATATGTTCATGCTATAACTACACTAGCTACTGTACATATGACAATGAAACCTTTGAATCTTGAAAAACTAAACGCTGGTTAAATATTTACACAATATTACAATGCGTGTACTATAAACATGGGATCAGAGTTAGCACTGGTTTCACAGTCAACATTGATATATCGCGACAACCCGGCTTTACAAATATTCTGTAAAATATAAATATTACATGTTTCATCCCCCAGCAGAACATTTTTCCAATTAGCCGTCATATAATCAATTCTTTAAACTTAGCTAAGAAACTTCTCTGGCTCTCCTTCAGGAATAAAGACAGGGTTGTGCATAAACAGCACTGGGACCTGTCAGATCCACGCCTGGTGTCCTGTTGAACACAGCAAGAGACCCACGTAAGACCCTTCCTCTCGCAGAACTTTGGAAAAGTGCCACTTTGTGATACTGCATTGACACTGGCCCTCATGGGGACTGAGATATTTCACAGGTTCTATTTATTGCTAATGTAGCCTGTCAGCTCCTCTTGTTTAGTTTTTAATTCTCACAGCTGCCTGTCTCTCTATCTTCCAGAGAGCCCTTACTAAGCGAAGCGGAAAACTTCACCATCTACATCAAGAATTTCATCAGGTTCCCGAAGTTTGAATTCTCCAAGTAAGTGGCTGCTAGTAGCGCTGCTTGTGGTTTTCAAAGCGTCACGACATCGACCAATGAGTGAGCTAAGGGGGGATGTACATGCCCCAATGGCTGCTTTAAATAGTTTTAGTGTGCAGACAGCCCTCTATTTATACCAGGCTGTGCATTGCACTCAGTGAGACAGTGAAACAGTCATCTGAGAAGTCCTTGACAGCGGGCCTTGCCCCAGACAGGTGTCCGATCTGAAAGGGGGGGGTTGGCCCCTGCTGCTCTGTCCTCTCTGCTGAAGTCCTGCAAGAAAGCAGAGTGACATCAGCCACAGCTAATTCATCAGTCAGGACCTTATTCTAATTACACAGCTATCTAACTTCATATGTTTTCTCACTAATCATGATATGCTTATACTTAATGGGGATTTTAGCTGTTGAAACAAATCCCTGTTACTGTAATGGGTGTTACTTGAAAGGGCTGCCAGCGCTACGTGTGGTATAGTGTGACACATCCAGCTGCACTGCAAAGCCAGAGAGCATAATGGTGTCAGCAGCATACTGTGTTAGGACTAGAGGAACATTTTACAGTGCAGTCAGTCATGATAAAAGTTAAGATGTTGATCTTTAGTCAGTGTATTAACACTAGATGGAGGTTGGCCCGCCCATAACCAGCACAGAGGTAAAGGTCCTGCTTTCTTTATACGGCTAAGGTCATTTTGCTTTCATAGCATTACATTGTTTGCACTCCTGTCTGTTCTCCAAACTGGTTATTTGCCAACTACCATCTACTCTAGTTAATTCACTGACTATGATACCCCACTTTGAAACATCTGAACTATATCTTTTAGCATTGATTGTGTCTAAGATAGAGATGGAAATGTCAAATATGCCAATATGAGAAGTTGAGAGAATTCTGTGACCCTGAATTGGCAGAAGCAGGTGGCTCTTAAGTCTATTGCCGTCCCGCCAACACTTAGATACACATCATAACTCCAACTTAAGTGACTTACATTTTTTAACTTGAGTGGAAGGTTACATTTTTTTCTTAGGGTGAGGGAAACACGATTAATGTGGAAATAGTAGTGGTTTTCACAGTTGCTGATAATCTGACATTTGACACAAGTTCTTCATGCCTGCTATATTGAACATCTAGGTCCAATGTCCTTGAAACCCCTGACGACAGCTACCTGAAAAGATGCTCCTACGACAAAGAGGAACACCTGTACTGCCCCATCTTCCGCCTCGGAGATCTGGTCAGCTGGACTGGGAATGATTTCCAGGAAATGGCTGTTCAGGTACAAAGTGTATTAACGTGTGAGATAAAAATGTGTGGGAGTGATTTCAATTACTGGATTCCTCATAGTCATTTGATAACACTCCATTATAGACCATCACATTTAGAAGATATAATCCATTTAAGATGCTCCTCATAATAATAACTGCAGAAACACACTTGTACAAGATGTGTGCTGCAACAAACATATATTGATGTAATGATAAGGGTAGTAAGAAAATTAATATAGTACAAGATGAAAACAAATCTTCATCAGCGTGTTGCAAGCTAATTCTGTCACTCAAGTCATTCTCTCTATCTCTCAGTACTTCCTGTTGATATCCAAAGACAAACATTTTCCAATAACTAATGGAAAGGATTTCTAAGATGGTGGTCTGCCTGCGATGCAACATCATTTTTTATGTGGTCTTGGAGTAAATCTCTAATGGAACATAGGAGTGCCATTTACACTGTAGTGAAGATACAATTGAGAATGATGAGATTGATCGTACACAGACTAATAAAAAAGATGTTCTGGTCGACAGCTGCAGGTTAGTTTGAGGTTAATTGCGGTAGTTGTACAATACCAATTTCCAAGTGTTGCCTGTGTTGTTGGGTTGTCTGTACTTCTGCCACATCTGTTGCCATGTCAAATAAGAACTGTGTGCTCTCTCAACCTGTGCCTCTCCCTTTCCAGTCACCTATGACCCCATTTTTGCTTGTGCAGCTAATCACTGTCACCTAGTGTTCAAAAATATAAATATACATGGCTCCTAAAGGCAGCCTAGGTCGGAGGTTTGCACAGGTTTATTTGAAATCACAATGGTTGTTCAGAAAGAGTAAAAAAAAGGATCATCTATTAGACAAACTTTCAGGCACATGGTCTTCATCAAGTATTTATGTCTTGATGGTGTGTTGTCATCACGTGGAATATATATAAAAAAATGTGTCAATTGATTCAAAGTGGCTGTAAACAAAAATAAATACAAGTTCAATAATTCATTCACATGATAAGAACTAAACAATAATTTTCTTTCCTTTTGGGGGGCTTTTTTGCCCTTACTGTTGCAGCTTAAGTTAGACAGGAGAAGGAGAGAAAGAGAGTACAACATGCACCAAAGGTCCGTCGGACAGATTGGAACCCATCCTTAGTACCAGATGAAAAAACAACTAAAACAAGGCCAAAGGAAATGGCTGAAAGCTTTAAAAAAACAACAACAAGTGGACCATATGATACGTTTTTATTTTCAAGCTGTATTTTCCAGTCAAGAATGAACTTTCAAGCTAGCGTTTATCTTAAAGCATTTCCTAAGACACAACGATAGTCCACAAACGTATGTTATCTGATCAGACCACTTCTGCAGACTGTATGGTCGTATGCCGCTTGTTTTGAATTTACAGCTTCCTCACTCACCTGCAAACATAAGAAAATGGTAGGAATTACAATTTTGAAGCCAGGACTCAAAGAACATGGTTTGAATTGGTTTCCATTAAATTGTTGTCTTTATTTTGGCTACACACTTTATTATAGACCTGTTAATGGAGCTGAGGTTACACTTACACTATTTTTGTCCTTCAGGGTGGTTCTGTTGGAATTCTCATTGAGTGGGACTGCGACCTGGATAAGGCCTATTCACGGTGTAATCCAGAGTACAGCTTTACCCGCCTGGATAGGGGTTTAAACAACTCGGTCACATCAGGATATAACTTCAGGTATGTCCCTCCAGGCATTCACCAAGAAATAAATCTGTCAGCTCACTGGTCTCCGAGTCTAACCGGTCTGATTTTCCCCTCCAGATATGCCAGGTATTTCAAGGATGAAAATGGCACCTTTCGCACTTTGTATAAAGTGTATGGGATCCGCTTCGATATAATGATCAATGGCCAGGTACAGCAGTGATAGGGATTATTCTTTCCAGAGTGAAGTACATTATTATGGAAATACATCTAGTGATTGCTTGTTATTGTTTTTTTAGGCTGGAAAATTCAATATTGTTCCCACGATAATTGCCATTGGTTCGGGCATTGCCCTGCTGGGTGCAGTGAGTAGTTTAATAAAATATTATACAATTATTATTAAATAATATTGAGGTGTCGGTGGGTAATTGCCACTGTTTTATTATAGTTACTTGCACGTTTTTCTTGTTATGACAAGTTAAAGAAGAAAAAAGTATTACAACATATTGAATTGCATAGATTAAAAATATGTTTTTAAGTGAAAGAATGACCACTTACAGTTACTTATAATCAGTTAATGTATTATATCTGCCTTTACCTCAGACATTTCATTACTTCACTTTAACCAACCAGCTACCAGAATAATCACATGATTATGCCCTAAAGCGGTGATGATGATTTTATAAAAAGTATTATTATGTATGACATCTATCAACCTATAATATCTATTGTCCTTGAGACAAATAATGTCAGTGAGTGAAAAGCAACATTGAAGCATTATGATACTTGACTTTATGTCAAATGCTTTTTAATTTATAAATATTGCTTTATTGTTTTAAGCATCATGAATATTTATGAGGCATTATACCTTTAATTATACAGCAATATAAGCAGATTATAATGCATTATTAGTTATGTTTTTGAAACATTATGGACTGAGTGCTACAGATATTATATATAATATATATGTTCTCTTTCAGGGGGCCTTTGCATGTGACGTGATACTACTGTACATGATGAACACAAGCTCCTTCTACCGAGACAAGAAGTTTGAAATCATCAACTTAAAGTATGACTTTCTGTACACTGTAATGATGGACCTTTTTTAAATCAGTCATTTCCAAAACCTTTATCCCCACATTTATTGGCACATCTTTGTGTCACTGTGTGTTACAGGAAAGAGCAGAACAAACACAAGGAAGGGAAGACAGGACACCGGGAAAGGAGACATAAGAAGCCAGCTGCGGACAAAGAGGCTGGAAACTCCACCAATAAGCCGGAGGAGACGGAAGCCCTCGCAGAGAGTCAGCTGCCTGTGGACCAACGGGGTCCAACAGTTCCACGCAATGCAGGACAGCGATATTCTGGCAACCTCTCTAACCAAGGCACAGGGCCGCGGCATCATATCACCTTCTCTGCGCAAAATTAAGTCAGAGTAAGACCAATCCCCTGCAGCGGTCTGTGAGAGGCGTAACCAAAGAGTCGGACTGATGCCCACTTCCCACCTGGCTGGACTGTCACTAGCCTGAGTGATGCTTGTCCTGACTTTGTTGGTCCAAAGAAATGTTACTGTGGGCAAATGGGCCAGGAAGCTGATGTAGAAATACACAGAGAGATGGTTTTCATCTTTGAAGCTGGGTCAGGGTCCAAAGCTGGAGTGTGGGAGATTACAACAGGTCCATAAATGATGATATGCCAGAGTTCTGTGGTTATGCTGATAATATTAACTGAGGGACTTTAAATGAATCATCTATGACCTAAAAGGAATTGCCAAATATTTGCCTATTACTGCATAGCAAATGGAAGTTATTAATTGCATCTTTGTTTCAGGTCATGAATCCATTACTTAAAAGCTCTTTTTGACAGATGATCAAGCATCATTTCCAGTTTGTTCTTTTTGATTCGCCATTAATAGACTTGCCAATAACAATCACCGCGAAAAAAACTACCGTCATTCGTGATTCATGAACCTCAAATGTAGCATAGGATTACGTTAAATGCCGATTAGATTAAAAAAAACGTTTAATGATTTGTGCTAAATCAATTTGCAAAATACCTTTAAATTATTTTTTAAGCACAGAGAAAATGCACTAGAAAGCAAATTCTAAGAAAATGTGTGAATATTCTTAATTTGTGTTATTTCAGTTGGATGCAACATGTGCTGTCGTTGGAATTCGAGTGGTGCACTTCATGTTGTATGTTGACGTCAATATTGGCCATGCCGTAGCTACAACACAATCATTATTTTTGTTATTAATGATAGGTATCACTTGTAAAGCTTTGGAATGAAGTTGTGATGGGCTGTGAGTGTTCTGTAATGACAGGTTCAATGCTGATATACTGGCTGATAGTCCAATGAATGATGAAAGACATTGGAAATGTGTGACCTTCTTCTCAAATCCATTTATAGAATGGTTTTGATTGTTGGAAACAAGTGTTACAACCCGGCTCCTGGGCTGCAACAAAAAGCAGGGAGGCGAGACGAAGGAAGAAAATAACAATTGTTTATTCTCTTATAAACAATGTAACGAACAGAACCAGCCACAGGTCCCCGAGGCTGGCACGGAGAGTGCCCAGAGGAGTCCGCGAGACGTAACCGGCTGGGCTCTTACTATATCCTTTCCTTTCCAGGTGTAGCTCATCAGCACCTGAACCTGTGAACCTGAGCACACCCACAAAGCACAGACAGAAACAGCACCCCACGTGGTGTGGAGGGGTCGTCACAAGTGTATTTTTCATATTTATTTCATGATGTCAGTGCCTGACAGACAAACCGATTAATAATGTATACAAACAAGATGTAAAGAGGTATTTATTTTAATCAGTAATCATATTTATTATAATTTAACCATAGTATCATACATGAATACAAGGCAAAGTGCTTACACCGTGTTAGGGTGTAATCTTTGTTGATCTATGTTACACTACAAACTACATTATCATGACTGTGGCTCTTATCTGTAGTGAAGAGCACGAGTTACATGTTGGATAAAGTCGCTACAAATTGTGGAGCAGAAGGATAAGAGAACAGTATTCTTCATTCTATTATAATTGACACATTAGCCGTTTAATCAACAGTTCATATTTGAAAAAGTATTTTACCAATGGCTTATCTACAGACAGCAGGGCAGACAATATTATTAGTTTATGTAGCATTAGATAGGACTAATTCACGGTTAAATAATTTTAGTACACGTGCACCATTCCGTAGAGGAAAGTCCAGAACAGGACGTAAGTGAAAAGACCTCCAACAAGGCCCCCGGTGAAGAGCAGCCTCCGTGATTTAAAACATTTGTTCCACCGCCGTCCGGCCTTGAGAATGAGCAGCAGAGAGAGGAGAAAAGAGGCGAGGAAATAAAAAATGAAGCCATACAGTCCAGACAGCCCGAGGATTCCCGCTGTTGCTCCGGACAGAGCGGAGACTGAGGTGCGGCAGTAGTCCAGCACGGCGGCGTTTCCCCTCACGGCTATCTCGCTGATGAACTGTGGTCCCTCTCTTTTGGCTACAACTCCTGCCATCTTGGATCTGGTCAGCAATCACAGGAAGGTGTTCCTGTTTCAGGAGAGATTCCCACATAGTCACATTTATCCAATAACCGTAATGCTGTACAGTTTTAAATAACTTTTTTCTTTACACTGAAGATCGAGATTCGATACTCAAAACCTTCGGGACAATCAAATGCAATAGTTTGTAACTGATCAACCAAATGCTAATGTTAAAATCAGCTCGACCAGAAGAAAAGGCTGCTTACACACGACTGAATAAGCCATTATAATACAATGTAGGGTGAAAATTACTATTATTTTGTATTATCTGCTGCTTATTATCTAGATTACAATTGGTAAATTGCTTAGTCTATAATATGTCAGAACATAGTAACAACTGTCAACGTTTCTAAATTCCAAGATGATGTCCTTTAATGTTTAGTTTTGCGTTTAAAAATAATCCCATTGGAACGATTAGACTAATATTAGATTGTTTGATGATTAGTTGACTAATTGAATGTAATGAATGATATAATGACATGCAACGAAGGGTCAGTCTGCTGCTTAATAACTACATTAGCTTTAATTATCAACATTAGACAATGACTTTGACTTGTATTTTTTACACGGTACTTTTATTTGTTTAAACAAGATAAATGCCTTTTCCATTTCAACTAAATGCAAGGCCATTGTTACATTATATATTATAATGTGTACAGATATTAGTAATTTAAAGTATGAATTTAATATTTTAACATCCACTAGGAGGTTGGATGACAAAAGGACAAAACTCGACAGAGGTCTTAATATATTAAAGCCCCCTAATACGAGTGACAAAGAGAAAAGCTGTCAGCCTTGATCGATGTTAGCCTAGCTGGTTACAGATCAAATTGAATCAAAGTAGCTAACGTTAGCTAATAAACCTATAATATAAAGCGATGTTCTGGTGACAGAAACCAGACGCAGACAAAAAGGAAGTGACTCCAATAATCAGAGTCTTATAAATAAACTAAACGTAGCACTGTACGACCCCTGGTGTTAGCCTATAGCGCTAACACGCTAGCATTATGAGCTAGTCCTCCGGGCTGCTGCTGACGGAAACTGATGATTCTCACCGGAAATGTAAGCAGGGACTCGTTGGCTCCTCACGATTATAAAAACATAATATGTGTCATGAACGCCAAAGATCTGGATATTAGAGCGTTTTCAGAGAACTTCGGCTGTTTTGGCACAGAAAAAGCACATTCATTCTCGTTCGGATAGCACTCCCAGGAAAGAGTCAGCCATGTTCATTCGAAATGCATTGTGGGCACAGCCTGCGTAAGGAGCAGTTTTGGTGCGTTTCATTGCACATTAAAGAGTAGGAAATTCTAACTTTAATAATAGGGAAATACCTTTAGGCTTACTGTCATTGGGTGAGCATACAAAGATAATCCGCCCTTTTCAAACATCCAGCTCTATTGGATATACACCACATGTTTCACAAGCTGCAGTAATAAGAGAACATCTACAAATGAAACACAAACAGTTTACATTGAGGTTACCGGTGCTATTATTTATTATGTCTATTTCTGTCAAAAGGTTATTTTACTGGTTCAGGAATCAATCAATGAACAATCTGCAGTAATGTTTCCTTCGGAAAAGGCATTATGGCTCATTTTACATTTGGATGGAACTATTCGGTTGGACGTAAGTAAGATTTACGACTTTCTACTTTGTCCCAAACGCAGCAGTAGACTTTGCCTTGTTGTGATGATGATATATAACTGTATCATCAACAGTAGTTTCATTAGCTGCAATGTCTGCATATATCCTGGGTTTGGACTTGGGCACCACGTCGGTAAAAGCCGTTTTATTAGAAACTGTCTCCCGAACGGTGGTTGCTATTCAGTCTTTGCCAACTTCGTCTGATATAATTGACCAAAGCGGAAAAAAGGTGAGTGTGTGCCAACCATTCAACTCTCCCCTGCTGGGTGTTTGCCCCGTGTGTAACCTGTCTGCGTACGTGTTCATGCGCAGGCGAAAGAGCAGGACACTGGCCGGATCATTGACACTGTGAACCGGTGCATCGGCCTGCTGCCCCGAGACAAACTGCAGCATGTCAGCAGCATCGGGTTGTCCGGGCAGATGCACGGGGTTTTATTTTGGAAAGAAAAACGCGGTAAGCCTTCCACCTGGGTGCTGCGTGAACGCTGTTGCATTTCTTAAATTGTGGTCAATTGTGAAACAACTGCTGTAATACATGAGTACCCTTGGGCAGCAAAGTAACAGATATACAGATATATATCCTGCAATGTTATTGCCCATATATGTTTGCATTTGCACAATTTGTAATTGCACATTAAGCTCTTTAATCTTATATTATCTGGTATATAAATATCTGCTGTGGCATTTATTTTATTAATATAAAACAATACATCCTAATACACAAAGAGACATACTTTCTTAATTAGTCTAACCAAAGTATCCAACAAATCCAAAAGGGAGAAAATCAGTTTGTAATGGTAAATATATGCTCCTGGGATGTCTCCATGCCTCTCTACCCCTGCAGGTTGTGATTGGTCCAAGAGGGATTTCTTCACAGCCCGAGACACCAGTCAGCTGATCACCTGGCAGGATGGGCGCTGCAGCAGCAATTTCCTGTCCTCACTTCCAAATCCAGGCTCACATCTCAGCGTGGCCACAGGCTTTGGCTGTGCTACAATCTTCTGGTACATGAGAAACAGGTCAGCATGCACTTCTGAAAACATCCCAAAGCATTTTTATTTTGTGATATGAAACTGAAGTTAATATCTTTGGTTTTACTGCAGGCCAGAGTTCCTCGAGGACTTCACAGTTGCAGGTACCATCCAGGACTATGTGGTGTCCATGCTGTGTGGTCTGGACGGCTGTGTGATGACCCCCCAGAATGCAGCCGGCTGGGGCTACTTCAACACCTCTACCAACCAGTGGAATACAGACATGTACGTAAAGTGTAAATCTACATGCATGACACATTTTCTAAAGGTTTTGCATGCTTAGTGTTCAACTAAAATTGCTAAACATTTTGGCATTGCAAAGAGTTGTTATGCGTAACCTACATTACAAGCCTCTGTGTGTGCATGCTGCAGTCTGAAGGGGGCCGGCTTCCCTTTGGGCCTGCTTCCTCAGTGTGTGCCATCTGGTTGCTGGGCGGGACAGACGTGCTCTGACTGGCATGGTATCCCTGCTGGAACACCAGTAGGGGCCGCGCTGGGAGACTTCCAGTGCTCGGTATACTCCTGCATGAGTGCCAGAACAGACGCAGGTGAAAATAGCTGTACTCGACTGTTTATGCACTTCAGAAGAAAGTCTATCTTTACAGCTGTTCCATGACATGTTCCATCGATTAGATTAATCTTCTAATCTTAGTAGTGCTTTTGTTTTAGTGTGTCATCCTACTGTAGTTATTTTCTTTATTTTTGTGGTTATTTTTGTGACCTTTTCATTGCCATTGTGTGTATCTTTTGTGGTCTCTTTGCAGTTGCTTTGCACTTCTTTTTAGTTTTGTGACTCTTGGTAGATTTGTTACCGGTTGCAACAGCGGTGCTGGTATTGTTTATTAGCTTGTGAGTCTGTTTGTCCCATTGGAAAATCCCTCATAGAGATGTGTTAATATACTGTAATTAAAACTGAAAAATACCAAATAAATAAGCATAGGGATTACTTAACATGGCACATAGCAGCAAATACCCACGTCTTAGTTTGTACTCTTTATGTTGCACACACAGGAATGAATGCATTATGGATCAAGTGTATTCCTGCTGTCTGTGTCTCCTGCATGTCTTGTTTGGAGCTGTTAGTGTTTATGCCTCAGATGACAGTTTTTATCCTCTCCTAATTTCTCAGTTCTTAACATAAGCACCTCAGCCCAGCTGACCTTCGCCTTGCCAGCTGACTTCAAACCTCCAGATTCTCCTCAGCCTGCGTCCTCCATCTCCTACGTTCCCTACTTCGAGGACTCGTACTTGGCGGTGGCAGCTTCACTAAATGGAGGGAATGCACTGGCTACATTTGTGGAGATGCTCACTTCCTGGATGAAAGAGCTTGGTATGTATTTGTTGTCATGTTAGTAGTGTGCTTCTTAGTGTTTGTTCAACTTTTTAATTCAACTAAAATGTCACGACTGTGGAGGGATTGCCATGTTAAACCTTAAAAAAAAAGCCCAATTACCCTGATGATCCTCCTTACTCTAGCGTCACAATGATGTGGGTGTTAAGTGTTTTCCAAACATTCATGTTCCAGAAGGAATCATGATAACTCTGATTATCTTTCCACTTTTTGGAGATGTTGTTTATGTTTGGATTTTGTGCTAATTAGCTAATGCTTATTTACACATTTGCAAAGCTAAAATGCTGACCATTGTAATAATCTCTATATTATGCTAACGTCATCATTTGTCTCGAAGCAGTGCTGTGTAATACGGCTTCATAGAGTTGCTAGCATAGCTGTAGAATCTTCAGACTTAGTCAAATTTAAATGTGGCAATAGATATGTTTTTTGTTTTAACTTACCATTATCAAGTAAAGTTACATTAAATGACATGTCACTTGTTCGACGCTTTTATCCGAAGCGACTTACATATTTCTTTTTTACAATTTAATCAAATGTCAATGAGAGCCCAAAGAGGGCAGTTTTCTGTAAACCTTTACCAAAATGTCTTTGAGATTATTGCAATTTTAAAGTGGACCTATCATGCTATATTTGAATAATATAGTGTAGAACCATACCTATATAAGGCATATTTATACTTTTTATTTGTCAAAATACCAAACAGATCATGCATTTTAGCCATTCCTCATTTCGCTCAATTTAACACTGTCTTTTCATGGCTGATTCTGTGAGAACAGCACCATTTACAAGCCTAGCATATGTACTACAGCGTCTCCAGCGCTTTCGAATGGCAATGTCCGTGGCTGTCTCCTCCTAATTGGTGGAGTTGGCCCAATAGCCGTAGCGCCACTTCTGTGACGTCATAGAAGTGTTCAACTCTGGATCAGTCTGTATCAGATCCGTTGCAGCCCCTTTTTAAGAGATTTGGGTATGGAGGAAAATAGAGAGGGTTGTGTTTTCTGACACTTGGTGAGTTCCCTGGAACACCGGGGACACATATTCATGTATAAAAGACGTACAAAAGTGCATTTTGCATAATAGGTCACCTTTAAGTGTTTAATCCAAATGTTAAACAGCGCCTCCTCTTCCCTCGCAGGTGCAGAGATGAGTGATTCCTGTTTATATGAGAAGCTGATTAATTGCTCCCTGAATCAGGAAACGAGAGAGCTGTCGGTGAGTCCCACTCTCTTGGGTGAGAGGCACGATCCCCTCTGCCTGGGCCAGGTCACCAACATCTCCCCTACCAATCTGTCTCTGGGTCACGTGACCAGGGCGCTGTGCCGCGGAGTCCTGCACAACATCACGTCAATGATGCCTGCTGACCGTCTGCAGCAGGCGGGGGTCTGCCGGATTGTGGGCAGTGGGAGCGCCATCGCCCGCAATGAGGTGCTGAGGCAGGAGGTGGAGAAGGCGTTTCCCCAACCGGTGGTGTACGGACAAAACGCAGACTCTGCTGTTGGCGTAGCCATGGTCCTCTGTGACCTCATGAGAGATGCATACATAATCAAGTGAACATTATAGGTTACTTATTTAATCGCACGTTTGGTAAAAATCAGGAAAACTTAAATGGTACAACATATTTCGCTCTGAGTCTAAAAGCAAAATCTGGGAAGAATCCAAAGCCTTAAGAATTTTCCAGTTTGTTTTGTTCTGTGATGTTTTTAGACTTTTGGGAATCAAAGATCAAAGCTACCAAATGATACATGCTGGCTCATACCAACTGCTTCTTGAATGCAGCTAAAATCCCCTTTCAACATTGAATTTAACTCCATTGCCTGTCATTTCTGGGTCTAATAAGCAGTGTTTCAGATAACATGTCTGATAAGGATTTTAAAACATAAGTCCGTTGCAAAGATGCTCATCATTCATTAAAAAAAAAACTAATGTTAAAGAGCAAATGTATTCAAAGACAGCTACCTATGTAGAACTGTTTGCAAAGAGTAAAAAAAAAAACACATTGTGTTATCACTTGGTTTTGACTCCTTGCTTTCTGCATTAGCGCAGCTGCAGTAACAGTTGAATGCAACGAGTTCATGCTCTTTCCCTCCATGTTGCTGAAAGGTGTTATGAAGTGTGAGGCAGATTGAAATCACAGCACCGCTGGAATGCTTTGAAAACAACAGATGTATGATCTATAGAGAATTAAATCATAGAAAAAATGTGAACAACCAATTAAAAAAAACCAATTATAGCCATGTTTTAAGGAACTAAAGAGATCTCAATCATGCTGAGAATGATATAAAAGTAAACCCCTCTGTAAAAACCTTCAGAACACATGTCACTTTAAATATTGTTGTATGTAAGTGATACTGAAATGGAGGTTTATGTATTCCATACATTCCGCAAGACACTGCCTGTAAATAGAGTACACAAAAGATGAAACTCCCCAGTTTATTACTTGTACTAAGATTATTTTTAATGTAACAGGTTTTATTCTTTTTTAAATATGGGAATGAGGAATTATCTGAGGATAACTTTATATGAATTAAGGAAATCTACAGACACAAATAGACAGTGAATTAAAACTGGTAAAGGTGCAGCTAGTTTCAATGTCTTATTTAAGTGTTGATTGTATTTCAAATCATTAATCCAAATCTGCAAAGTAACTAAAGGAATTCAATTAATGTAGTGCAGTAAAAGTACACAATTCACCTTTGAATTGTTGTGGGGTACAAAGTAACATAAAATGGAAATACTCAAGTTAAGTACAAGTATCTAACCATTTTTACTTAAGTCCAGTACTTGAGTAAATCTACTTAGTTACTTTCCACCTCTGGAAGGAAGAAATGTAATGGAAGCAAAACAGCTTAAACTCTCAAAATGGAGTCTATGTTTGCCTGTATAGTGCCTTGGCCTAGCTGTGAAAAAGGAAGTTATAATAAGAAAGGAAATGGCATGACTGCAGATCTATAGCAGACGCTAGAAAGCATAATCTCTGCAACCACACAGTCACAGGACCATAGCAGCATGAACACACACACACACACACACTCACACACCCATGTCAGTGAAACTACTGGAGGCGCATAAGACACACAGGAAGCAAATCAGCGATTAAACAAAGGAAACTCGCTTATGAAAATATCATGCACCAACCTTACTAAGAATAGTAGCATTTCAAAAGGGTAAGTTGTACATTTATGTTATTTTTTTAATTGAATTTGTTTAAGCTCTTGATGGCTATTTCTTTCCAGCTAAGTGCCTCAGAGGATAACCCTAAAATGAATTTGAAAGACTATATGGCATATGCCACAGTTAAACTGCTCTCTAATTAGCTCCTCAAGAAACAAATGTGTTCTTGTCAGATAATACACGGGTACTCGCTGATTCCTTTGTGGTATTTTTTTGCTGTCTTGGCATGATGGTCAATAACAGATCCTTTTAAGCACTCAGGGCTGCAGTAATGTTCTCTGATATCCTTTGGGGGATGTCACCCTATCTCTGCCTCTTCCAGGCAGTCTTCCTGCTATCTCCCACCGCCTTTACAATAAACGGACATGTAAGGACAATAGGACTCACACATCCATGCAGGACACTGTTGTGTTTTTTACTTCAAGATCTAATTCTTTCTATAATCTGGTGCTGGAAAAATAACTTTTGGTGAGTAAATTGATGGGTTGATGTGTAACTGGTTTACCAGTTTTAAATTACAATATTTCTACTGGTCCTGAAGGACATTGTCAAACATCCCAGTCAGTGAAATAATCTTTGTTTGAACATATCTTACATTCTATTGTGATTTGTTAACGCATGTTTTGTACATTTGAACATACCGTGCAGACATTTAAAAACCTGCACCGCAGTGGTGTGGTTGATTTTATGAGGATATGGGAACTAATGGTATGGGAAGATGGACCTGATTGACACTGACTCACAATGTGTCTCTTAATCTTTATTTATAATTGAACTTCTGAAGAATGATGAGGGTGGTGCATCTGCACACACAATGAACAACTCATATTTTGTCAATGCACATCTTTTAAAATTTGTTCACAACTGGTACCGCTAAATGGCATTTGAGATCCATGGGAAATGGAATTTTCAAAATATGAGACGGACAGCACACACTTCTCTCTTTTTCCATCAATTGTTTTACTTTAGTGCTATTCCTCTAGTAATGATCACAGTCATACGGAGATGCAATGAGTCACTAATTCCCCATTTTGTGACAGAAAAAAGGGAACAGAAAGCCACGAGGATCAGGTTCCTGTTTTCCTTTGCTTGATTAAAAAACTACATTTATTTATATCAGTTTGACTTATATTTTTTATTTAAATCACTTGCAAAATGTTGTTTTTAATAAACCCTACCGTACATAATTGATTATTCTGCAGCGAAGTGGCTACCAGATTAAGTGTTGTGAGTTATGTTCTCATGGAAATCTTCCTCTAAATACACTCCTTTGTTCCTCCCTGCGGCTGTAACATCACATGCCTGGAAATATGTCTGTGCCCTTAAAACCTAGAAGGTGATTCCTGTGGTGAATTCAGACCCAGCTGATACGAACGCATAGTAACTCATGTTAAACATTAACATTAAACGCTTTGTCCCGCATGTTTACATCAGGGCTCTCTAATGCTTCTGGCTTGTGACACACTAGACAAAAACTAAGTGTGTGTGACCTATTGACACAATTGCAAGGAGTACCAAGCAGACACATTTCAACCATACCAAAAATAAAAGAAAATAATGAAATAAGTAAGTAAATACAAAAATATATATAAAGGGAGAAGGGTATTATGATTGGGGTGAAATACCTCTTTTCTTGGAACAATTTACAAACAATGTTAGTATGTCAATGTTAAGTCTATGTCTTATTCAAAAAGTATTCTCATACTCTGATGTAGGTACTGTATATTACATGTCCATAATGTGTATACATCATGAATTTTGTTTCGGTGTATTTGATGCTTTATAAGTCAGAAACATACTTTAGGGTTTTCTCAACCTCTCCCCAAATAGGCATCCATTTTGGACATCTACAGAATGTGTGTGTAGTTTGCGAAGGCATAACACTTCCCACATTTACAAGATGTAATAAAATATCTCAAGCTCACTATGCCAGTCAATTCTCAGCAGCAATTTAATTACCATGGGAAGTCCATTACAATCGTCTTCTGATAGAATAAATTCAAATTATTTCCCCCAATGTTTATTTAACATTATGTTTCAACTATTTCAAGTGGTAGAGAATCAGATGAACTCCTTAACAAATGTATCTATAGCTGACAAATACTCATCCCTGGTTCTGATGGCTGCTGTCTGAATGATTCGCAGAGCAGGGGGTGGAGATGGAGAAGTCAGAGATGTTTGGCATCTCTTTGGAGACAGACAACAGGACGATGGAGGAGAAAGCGCGGCACAGAGCTGCGCATAAGGGCGGTTCAGGCAATGAGCCGCCCAAGGCTCCAATGGACACTGATTACCAGGAAGAGATGGAGATCCCCAAGCCTAAAATCAGAATGAATGCCAACTTTGACAAGTGAGCCTCACCATGCAAACATGAAGGGATTTTAACACTCATTATAACATGGTTCTGTGTATTATCAAGCCCAGAATTGATGATTAAGTTGGAGTTGCTTCACCTTTTGCCCCCAATGATGTTGTCTGTGACGTGTTATGTTGACAGAGAGATTCAAGGATTGGATCCCAGTGGAAGCACAGACAACAGGTTTGGTATCGACAGGCTGTTTGAAGCGGTTGCCAGCAGGGACGTCCAAAAGCTGGACGGCCTGCATCAGTACCTGCATCGGAACAGGATGAAACTGTCCAACTCTCTGTGTGAGTGTCAGACCCATAATGCAACAGCTGTAGACATGTGTGTTACCTCCCTCAGGGGTTGTTTTTTAAACAATGGACCCCTGGGCACAGACATGTAAGTAACAGGCCCCATCACCTTATGACACATAGACTCTGTGGTTTTGTGTCTCATTGGTGTCTTCTATTGATTTCATGTGCTTTTGTGCTTCATTTGTTTCTTTTTTTGTGTCCTTATGTGTCTCTTTGTGGTAATTTGTAGGCCTTTGGTGTCTTCTTATGGTCTTCTTGTCCTGATTTTAAGTCTCCTTGTGTTAGTTTTGTTTCTTTATTGATGTCGTTTTGTCTATCGTTGTGGTGATTTTGTCTCTTGAATCATTTTGTGTCTATTTGTGGTCGCTTTGTGTCCCTTTGTTTTATTTTTGCAAGCATGTGTCTCTTTGACTGACATTGTGTAGTTGCAGGTCACTGGGCCCCTACACACTTAGGCCCCTGGCTCTGTGCCTAGGTTTGTCCAGATCTCCGTCCATGATCTCGCTGTATGTGTGTTTACACCTGCAGATCAGTCTTACGGTAAAACGGCCCTCATGAAGGCTCTGCTGCACCTCATGGATGGCAAAAACGAGACGGTGGAGCTTTTGATCGACATTTCAGAGAAGATGAAAGACATTAATGAGTTTGTAAATGCGGCCTACACTAACGTCTACTACAAAGGTAAACTGAAGCTGAATTGTTGAGAAAATGAACTCTCATGTCTTTCTTTGTGTTATTCCTCAAACCTAAACAATGTAAAGAGATTTGAATGGTATGACTCGATGTATTCCGACAGGTCAGACAGCTCTTCATATAGCCATTGAGAGGAGGAGTCTCTCCTATGTGGAGCTGCTGCTCAGTAAAGGAGCAGACGTCCACGCCAAAGCCTGCGGAACTTTCTTCCAGCCACACGATGGCCCCAACTTCTACTTTGGTGAGTCCATGCTGCAGCAGGGCGCAGCCCCCTCCTCTGGAGCCTCACACAAAGATAATCTACTGATGAGTCACACATCCCACCTTTATTACTGAGTGAGAAACTTTCCATAGAGTCACAGCATCTCTGGACAATAACATGAAGAAATACATTTTCAATAGGGTATTTCTAAGTTCCAATGTCATTTGTTCCCTGAAATCTTACATTTTAGCTGGGCTAGGGTTAATGTTCATTTATTTGAAAAAAGGACAACACAAAAAGATTGCCATTGTGACTGTCACATTTTGGAGCACAGCACCCAAGGCTCAGGTGCCTGAGCTCAGTGAGGTAATTACTAACTGATAAACTGGGTCAATGATATGGGCCTAGGAAAATATTTCCCCAACAAGCTCCATATTGTCTATACTCCATGTCAGGGAATAATTTGCCCTGCATGTCCTCCTTCGCCCTCTGACGCAGATGCCCAGCCTTGGACAGCCACTATCTCCCTTANCTTAGCTTTTCATCGTCCATGGGGCGTACAGAACTTATGTGGTATTTTCCTTTTGTTAAAGTTCCCATGTCATGGCCATTTCTACTGATCAGAATTCCATTGTTGAGGTATACTAAAATAGATTTATATTCTAGACCGTAGCTTCTCAGTGCAGCTAGGTGCCTTCTCCTCTGCTAAAGCCCTTCTTACCTGTGGGGTTCCCCAAGGCTCTATCCTGGGCTCCA